CATTCACTGACCTCAGACTATAAATAAAGTGTCAACTGTAGGCAGATTCTGATATTGGAGTAATGAGCAGAGAGGAATCAGTTGGGTTAGCAGTGAACTTCACCTGCAGCTCCATATAAAGGTGTGATGGTGTTTGTACCTCTGTAGCTGAAGGCTCCGGCTCCAGCGGTGGTGTATCCTCGTCCACTGGGACACAGAGACAGAAACTCGGCTGCAACACACACAAACTCCACCCGTCAAACATCAACCAGCCTCTGAGCTGCACTCTGACGTTGAAGCTTCCTGCCGGGCGTCTCACCTGTGTCTGCTGCTGGACAGGTGTGGTACTGGCAGCCCAGCCCCCAGCCCTCCCCCACCGTGCAGCAGCACTCCTGCTGGCTGGTGTTGGTGGCCAGCAGGCTGCAGGTTCCTCGCTCAGCCAGGTTGTAGTAGCACTCCCTCAGCTCACCTGGTCGGGCTGCAGGGAGAGGAGGAAGCATCGGGGCCAGCTCCACCACGCTGACGTGGAAGGAAGAAGAAGAAGAAGACTGGGGGGACGAGGAGGACGACGAAGAAGAGGAAGAAGAAGATGAAGAGGAAGAGGAGGATGAAGAGGAAGAGGCGGAGGAAGATGAAGAGGAGGCAGAAGACGAGGAGGTGGGATAGTTGGGGACAACCCTTGCATCTGGGGAAAAGAAAAACAGGACATATTTGCACTCTGAGGACATTTATTTGCCCTATAATAACATTTTTGTGCACCGTGACAGTATTTCTTCGCCTACCTGTGGTGCCGACACACCGTCTGGCCGTCGTGTCGAACTCCTCTCCGGCTCGGTCGCATTCGCACATGAAGGATCCCTCCATGTTCTCACACCGAGCAGAACCGCACACGCCCGGCAGAGACACACACTCGTCCTCGTCTGAGACGCACAAAAACATCAGGTCAGTTACTGTAAGTCCCTCTGATCAGTGACTGTATTCACGTCTGCTGTGTGTTTTTACTTAAGGGAGGATATTTAAGAACATTTAGGATATTTAAAAGACACTGTGACGTCGATGTGATGCTGTTTAGACATAATTAGGGGTGTTTAAGTCAAGTGAGGACATTTAAGGGAGTATATTTAAGGACAATAAGACATTTAAGGGAAGTTAGCATAGTTTGGATATTTGAGGTAAATGAGGACACTTAAGGGATTATTTTAAATGACAGTGAGGATATTTAAGGGTAGGAAGGACATTTAGGGGATTATATTTCAGGACAGTAAGACATTTAAAGGACGTGAGGACATTTAAGGGAGTATATTTAAGGGAAGTGAGGATATTTAAGGGA